TCTAGGACAGATGTTATGCTCTGTTCTATTTACGAAATACTATCACTCAGAGTTCGTGCCCACAAATACAAATATACATAAGGGCAAACATGCGTATCCGGACATAAAATCGAATCAGCCAAATATTTTAATACCAACAAATGTATTTTTAAAAATAAATAAATTTTCAATGCATAAATTCTGATGATGCCCAGAGCATTTTCAAAAGAACTGAAGGACTTGAAGACTGCATTAATTTGAGCGGCATAAAAAATGAAAAAATTCACTAGACTTATCACACACTTACCTGACTACTCATTATTGTGTAAATGTTGAGGGAAATCTTACCTGTGATCACGAAGCCTAAGGCCCTAGAGTCAAGCAGGGGTAAGGCGGAGAACATTCAAAGACTAATGGGTTGCAGAATATGTCATGCCATCAGGATTGAGCAGATATAACCATTGCGAATCAGAATATTTCAGGCAGCGACTAATTAGGTCGTCCACTTCCCCTAACTTAACAATGTGCTATCAGAAAGTGAAGAATTCTCGACAAAATTACCGCAGGAAGTGTTCCTGCAATTGATATATAATAGTATTTTATGAGCTTTCTCCTATAATAAACCAACTCAGCAGCCAAAAGCATTTGGCAACGCCATCGCTCTATACAAGTCCAAAACATTAACCTCGAAAGGGGCCAAACAAAGAATACTAGAAAGACTTGATTTCAACTGTTTTGTGAGATCACTAAGGAAAAGCAGACGAATTTATCTAGTCGCATAAATGGAATACAAGACATGATGCACTAACAGAGGCTAGGTTGTCTATACCATGCGAGCAAGGTGATTGCGTCTATACTACATAAACAAGTTGTATTTAGCGAGCTAGGAGCCGAATTTCCAAGGCATACGCCAAGACTACTGCGGAAGATTATTTCATCCAATCCAAAGCAGAAATACACTATAGAATGGTGAGACTGATGTACACTACACTATAGACATAAGTTAGGCCAAAACTAACGCGAATGATAGCCTGCCTCGCACCGTACAGATGTAGCAAGAATATATAAAAAATCAATTTCTATGTTGTATAAGAGGCAAACTTATCTTCAAACTAATTGAAGAGTTATTCGTGTAGGTTAGTGATAGGGGGAAGGAGGGTAGTGAGTAATAAGGGACAGGTAGTCAGGAAATGAGGTAGTGCAATAGGCTCAATCAGGTAGGATTGGTGTAAGGGCTCAAAAATAGCACAGTAAGCATTGCTGTCTACCGAGAGAACATTCGAAGCATTAAAAAAAATCAATTCGCGTTGTTGTGCCTATGATTTTGCGTGAAAAGGAGAATGAACGGAATTAATAAGTTGGTCTAAATGGAACCCGATGTGGGGTTGCCTTGAAGTGATTTGCGGATTTATTAGAAAGAATCCTCTGTACATCTTCCAGCGACTCCAGTGAATCAATGCCCCACACTGGCAGAGATTGTCGGGGTCGGAAGCCATCATTTACGAAGCGACATCAAAGCACTAAAACAAGAAGCGTTTTATTGAATTCTTGTAAATGATGATTTCTAGCTCCGACGATATTGGTAGAATGGCAAATGAAAGCTCGATAAGGGTTTATCAATGTCTCATTGGGATGTACTGAGGACTTCTTCAAACAAATCCAGTCACAAATCTATTAGTTTCCAGTGAGACTAATTTACGAATCTCTTCCACCCGATTATTCAAACAAGCACAAAATCTAATCTATTAACTATAACACTAAGACGTTATATGCGATTTAGGTCTCCTTTACTTTAATGCATAAAATCTAACTATAAAAAAACATCAAAATTTATAAATGCACCCATTCCACTTTTTATTTCAACATTGTTGCCACGATTAATGCATACATTTAAGGAACACCTACCAGAGTGGAGTTCGTAGCCCGCCTTTGTCTAACCAAATAGCCAAACGTTTCATTAATTTCCAAAGGTGCTCGACCCAGGAGGCCACTCGGCCAATTTTCATGCGAATATGTAGCATCATCGTGGGTAGCAAGCTCAATACTTCTTCCAAGCGAAACAAAGAGATCCAAAAGGTAGGGCATTTCCGTTGGGTCCACCAAGGAGTAGGATACTCCTGCCCGGCCTGCTCGGCCCACTCGACCTATTCGTAATAGATCATAAGACGAATTAGTCAATAGTGCACTCGATGGATATGAAGTAATAAATGTATTTTTCATAAAGCTAGAATAACGACATACCCACACGATGAATAAAAAGTTTTGGCTGTCCAGGAAAGTGAAAATTAATGGCACAATAAAGTAAAGGAATATCAATTCCACGAGCCGCCAAATCAGTGACGAGTAAGGCTCTGGTTCGATTTGCTCGAAAACCATATACAGCCTGATTACGGGCAACTGGATCGAGTCCAGAGTGAACGCCAACGCATGAGACACCAAGATCCCTCAGAAGCTGAAAGGTATGAACGTAGAGTAAAGCGAACGAGGGAAATAAAGTAAAGCGAAAAAATTGCGCAATAAGTAAATATACATTGGGATGAGACAAATTGCAATAATTTATTGTCAAACAAAGCGTAAGCAACAACTAGCAGCTACTTTCGTCACTGTCTTATCTATTTCCCTCCATAAAGGTTAATTAGTGATGCGAGAGTCGCTGATAACGAGAAAGCATATACAGTGATGCAGTTAAATGATTAAAAAAAGTTGGCAACTTGGTATAAAGAAGTGGTGCTTGTGCCTAGTAACCCTGATCTGAAAGTGCATTGAAAAGACAGTAGGCTAGAGGATAACCGATAGCAACATGAACGATAAGCATTAGGCTTAATTTTTATTCAAAACACTCCATTTTAGCATAGAATTTAACGACTAAAATTTGTAGGTTCACAAATAGTAATATAGGATTTTGGAACAACGTAAATGAAAGGACCTACGTTTTCAGCGTATTCAACATGATGTTTTGTAGCAAAGAAAACTATAATTTGCTCTTTTGCTGGTACCACATTTTGAATGAGGTGGAACAAGATGGAGAACTTGTGATCGGCCGAACAGATCATATGTGCTATCTATCAGAATTAGAGTAAATTAAACAACCTTAGTTAACGGACTCAATTTGGAATCCACATCAAGCCGTATTAAAACGGGATCGATTAATCCAGCCCTAGAAAACTCAGCAAGAGCTCGAGGCAGCGTGGCCGAGAATATTAGGGTTTGACGAGCCTTTGGTAAACGGTGTAGGGTTTCAGCAAGTTGCTCTGAAAAACCCATTTCAAAGAGCCTATCAGAATTAGTAGCTATATAATTTACCTGTCTCCCTCATCAAAAACCACATACTGTATTGTGCTTAACTTTATGTTCATCTCCATGATAATATGGAGCAATCGTCCCGGTGTTGCTACAATACTACAGATTGTAAGCGCAAGAATAGAAGAATCTCACATATCGGGGTTTCTATGAAGTGCATCAAATTGATCCTCAATTCTACGGACAAATTGATTAAAACACAAGCTTACTTGTCGCCTCCTAA